AAACCTGCAGATCTTCGTCCATATCAGGACCATCACCACTACTACAGAACCCAGGGCCATTCTGCCAATATCAGGTAGATGGATGTCATGCTCACTTGACTGCAGGATGCTTATTCAGAATTGCCAGCACTTCTCAGACCCTTACCTCCCTCTTCCTGTCCTGTCATGGATGTTCACAGCAACCTTTCCCCTCCTCCCACGCACAGATCCTCTCCTCTGCATTCATTTCAATATTCAGTCCACATATTTTTAGTCATTTCTGTGTTCCATACTCTTGCCAGGAAGGGACACTCTCTCAAAACTAAACAACTCCATACAGTTTAACACTCCTATTGATACATTTTTGGCTCTATATCCCAGATTCCGTTTGTTCTCCTATGAATCTTAACCACAAACTCCTATTCACTCTCCTTTCTAAGGGACCCCTATATGCTCCATAGCATACTTATCTAAACAGGTCTTGGGAGTGGCAGCTTTCTTAGCATCCGAGACAGAAAAATTCACCCAGAACCAGTATATAATCTTCTCTTTTCAGCCCACAATCTAGTAAAAACAAGTCATTTAACACTCTTGGCCTTCTTCCTACATGAATTCAATAACGTTGCACACACTTTTTTCCTACACATTCTTTTTTTATAGTGTGTTTTTAAGTAGTTGTACAAGGGAGTTTCCACTCAAGAAAACAGTTAATATAATGCATCTTGGTTAATGTCATCTCTTCCGTCACTCTCTCTCATTTTCATATACTGTGTCTAATCCTCTCATCCCTTTCAATGCTGCAGAGCTCTCAACCTTGCTGCAACACTTCTCCTTGTTCCATATACACACATAGAGTCCCAAATCTATCCACACTCTTATTTGAGGACCATAGAATACTCTACCCATATCTTTGCACATCTCTTCTTGGACCTCCTTCTCTATATCCTCTTGTGCTTCATAGGTAGGTGTGCCTTCAAAGTCCCAAAGCCAGCCATAAGTAGTGCTACATTGACCACTCCTTGCATTCTCCATTAGAAGACTCAGTGCCCTGCCTCCAAATACAACATCCCAAACAGGAAGAATTGATTACTCTCACTAGGGCATTGGTTTTGGCAAAAGACAAAAAAAAGTTACACACACATACACACACTCGTGTGTGTGCATATATCTATATATATCTATACATATCTATCTATCTGCTTAGATAGATAGATCTGTTTAGATAGACAGATACATATATCTAGACTCTAAATATGCATTTCAGATAGTACATTCTCATGCTTTTACCTGCCAGGAATGAGGATTTTTTAAAAAAATTTATTTATGTGGTACGGAGGAATCAAATTCAAGGCCTCATGCATGTTAGGCAAGCACTCTACCACTAAGCCACATTCCCAGCAAGGAATGAATTTTTTTTTTTTGTCAGTCATGGGGCTTGAACTCTAGGCCTGGGAATTGTCCCTGAGCTCTTCATCTCAAGGCTAGCGCTCTACCACTTGAGCCACAGTGCCACTTCTGGCTTTTTCTGTTTATGAGGTGCTGAGGATTCAAACCCAGGGCTTCATGCATGTGAGGCAAGCACTCTACTGCTGAGCCCCATTCCCAGCCCCAGGGATGAGGATTTTTAGCTACTAAAGGAACCCCAATTGCAAATGGTGCTCTAATCCATCAACTGTTGGATGTGCTTAACCTTCCCAAACAGGATGCTGTTGTCCATTGTCAAGGACGTCAAAAGGTCACCGACTATATTAGTAATGAGTGGATAGATACTGCAGCAAAATCCTTTGTATATATCATTCCCTGGTTTGGGCTGCCCTCATCTTTGCAATGAGATAATGGCTCTGACTTTGTCTCTGCTGTTCGTCTGCCACATTGCCAGACACTTGGTATTAAGAGGGCATTCAGCATTTTATACTGACCCCAGTCTTCCAGCAACAAAACTCTCTTTCCTTGAGGCAGCAAAAGTTCAGAGACACATCTCAGAAAACAATTAGCCAGTTCCTGAACTGAAAGTCTTCCATCTTTTTTTATTTCTTCTTTTTTTTTTTTGGTTGGTTGTGGGGCTTGAACTCTGGGCCTGGGTGCTGTCCCTCAGCATTTCAGCTCAAGGTGAGTGCTCTACCTTGAGCCACAGTGCCACTTCTGGTTTTCTGGGGTTTACTGGAGATAAGAGTCTCACGGACTTTTCTGCCTGGGGTAGCTTTGAACCATAATCCTCAGATCTCAGCCTCCTGAGTAGCTAGAATGACAGGTGTGAGCCACTGGCACCCAGATCTTTAGCATTTTTAATGATGTTGTTTGGTCCATGCCTTAGTAACCTTGTCACAAAAATTTTCCCGCCAATTTTGATTGTTTCTTACAGAGTAGCACTGAAAAACATGGACAAATTTTCCTGAAAAGACATGACTATCACCAGGTCCCTCAGCTCCTGAGGCTGACCTTGGGGACTGGACCAGTCCCTTGACCTCCTTTCTCCATCCTGGATGACACCCTTTCTTTGCAGGAAGTAGAAAGAAGAGCTATCACTGCTCAACATACCCCTTCCTCCTTGTCATCCCTGGAAGTCATCTCTACTCCCTCCCTTAAGCCCTTCCAGTAACATACTTGATTTCCTCTATAAATATTCTTCAGTCTGTGACTGTGGGTTCTCGCTCTTCTCTGGAGACCCCTCTATAGTCTTTTCCCCTGAGTAAACTTGTAGTTTTGTCAAGCCATGTCTTTGCCTATTTTCTGATCTTCCAAAGACATTATTATGGTGAACAGATACTGTCTTAATGATTTTATTTTGGTGCCCTTTTAGAGACAAGATTCCTAAACAATTAGCTGACTTGGAGAGACAGTGGGTTCCCCCACCTCTTCCCCACAAGGCCAATGGTGTTTGGAACCCCTATCTCTTCCCCTGGTAGAGCTGAATAACTAAACCGGGGTCTCTCTTCTTACCCTGGTCCAGCTATTGTTGGAGACAATATTGTTGGAGAGAGGAGAATGAAGTAACAGCCCAGGAAAGGAAAGGGGGTCTCCTGGCTACTGGCCACCTAAAATTTTTTTCCCCAGCCTCCTCTACCACCATACCCCGATAGAGAAAAAATAGAGCCTCCTCATGGCGGAGAAGGCTGGCATCTCATTAGCACTTTCCACAGGGGGAAATGGCAGAGGCTGGTAGCTTGAAAAGTGGAGCTGAAGACACCTGATAGGAATCTGAGTCCAGATACAAGGCAGAAGCAAGTCAGCAACCCTTTGGCCTTTGGAGCAAAATTAGCCATGTACAATCAATATTTTTCATTTACTTTAAAATACATTTCCTGTTTTTTGCTTTCAGATTCCATGTGGCTTTGCCATCACTGTAAAATTCTGTTTTTCTTGAGGATTTCAGCATGGAATTTTTTGCTTTAAAGTTTAAAAATATCCTATGAAAATGTTTCTTGCTGGACACTTACAACCCTAGCTAACCAGGTTTCTTAGATACTAGGATTAAGGATCAATGAATGCCAGACTGATCAGTAAAGGCCATGCAAGCCTTATGTCCAGTTAGCTACCAAAATAAAGATGGAAGTGGAACTGTGGCTCAAGTGGTAGAGCAAAAAGCTTAGGATAGGGCCCAGGCCCTGAGTTCAAGCCTCTGGATTAACTCCAAAATGTTTAAATGTTATTTTTATTCTTGCAGGGATTTTGTTTTGTTTTGTTTCACTCTTTAATCTGTGCCCTGGGCAAGTGCCTGTCTCACCTTAGTCCTGATTGGGACAGTGGAGGAAATTCTCTGCTTGTGGTCTTTTGCCTTACCAATCGCAGCTAAGACCAAACCTAAGTATAATACTGCAATATAAGTCAATTCAGTGTAACTAAAACCCCTATTTGCTATTGGATTTAAAACAGGTAGCCCCCCCACCTGAAAAATATAGATAAGTATAAATTAGGATTAAATGACTTCACAAAGTTTCCTACCTAAAAAGGCATATTTTTTTTTGTAGAAATGACTACTTTTAAGCAATCTGAATTTAAACTTTCTTTTTGATGACCTGAGCTTAAACGTTTGAACAAGACTGTTTATAAACAGGAACTGACTAACCTTAATCCAATTTAATAAATACATGTATAAATACTATGGATATATGGAGTTGTGGTTAGATGTTTTACTGGACAGATGTAGGGGTTACCCTCTGTACATCACCTTTAAAATAATAAAAAGAAAAAAATAGGGGTCATTATTTAAATCACAAAGAACTCATCAGTGGTATTGTGAATGGAGAAAACTTGGGGAGACTGAGGGAGAGGTAATTTCGCTTTTCCAAACAGTTGAGGGACACTTCTAATAGTCGTAAATTGCTGGGGAGTGAACATTTATTGGGTATCTATCCAGCCAGGAGCTTTACACCAAGGATTATGTATCATCCTGGCAATGCTACACAACAGCCATCTTTTGACTCAAATTTCCCTCCCTCAGCGTTTCACAACCCTCTGGAATAAATAATAATAAATAAATAAAATATAAATAAAAACCTATTAATAAATAAAAACCTATTCAACTTTTCACAGTTCGTTTTGTAGGCTTTATAGGCTGAAAATTGGCCAGAGCAATTGAGCCGCAGCCTCCAGTACAGACTGTCTCGAGTGGTGGAGGGAGGGTAAGGAAACGCCCCCCGAAGATCCTTGCTCAGCTAAGGAGAGACCTCCCAGAGTCAGGGTTCCTGCAAGGGAAAACGCGGAGGAGGCCAGGGTGCCGAGGCATTTTTAGGGTGAGATTTGGCAGGAGGCATGGAGGCGTGAAAATAGGTGGGACGGGCAGGTTTTGGAGCTGGAACGTCAGGTGAGATCAGGGGACGTGTGCGATCCGCAGAACAGGACCACAGGAGGCAGCCCCGACAGGGCGGGGAACCGGAGCAGGACACCCAGCAGTGCCCAGCGCGGGGCGGGGATGGTGGGCGGGGCCGCCGGGTGGGCGTGTCCTACAGGCGGTTACATAACAAACCTGTGCGGGCGTCCCGCGCGGCGGGGGCGGGGCCGGGGCGGGGCCGGGGCGGGGCCAGGCTAGGCTGCACCGGGCTAGGCAAGATGGCGGCTATGGAGGCTGAGACGGCAATGACGATGACCCTGGAGTCGCTGCCTACAGATCCGCTGCTTCTTATCTTATCCTTCTTGGACTACCGGGACCTAATCAAGTAATGGGGCAGTGCGCTTGGCAGGGGTGGGAACAAGAGGAGGAGATGGCCAGGCGGGACGGGAGGAAGCCGGGCCCTCAGAGTGGATCTTGGCACCCTGCGGCAGCTTAGAAGGTGACACCGGGTCCGTCCTCGTCCTGCTAGCGCCACCCCTCCCCCGGGGGGGGGAGACGGGGACCCGGAGGACCTGGCTCGGGGGTCTCCTGTCCCATCCAGGCCTCGGCGAGGCCCGGTTGCCCCCGAAGGGAGTTAGTGCTGCCCCCCACCCCCACCCGGCTGCGCCCGCGGCCCCCGCCCGCCCGCCCGCCCGTCCCCGCCCGTCCCCGCCCGGGACGCTGGGAGTCAACCCCCTCTCCCGGCGGGCGCTGGTGTCTGCTGGGCCCCAGGCCTGGGATCCGGCGCCGGCGGCGTGGGCAGGTCGACGCGCGCCCACTGGAGGCGGAGGGGGGGGCACCCCTGAGCCCGGCTGGGTGTCACCCCGCTTCGGGACCGCCCGCGGGGCCCTCACCGCGTCACTTCCACGTTGGAGAGTCGTGTGGCTCTCCACCCTGCCTGCTCACGGCGGGGTGGGGGGTGGATTTGGGTGCTTGGGTACTGACTTCCGGTGGGGAGAGGCGGTGGTACAGGTAATGGATTGCCATAAAGCGCTGGGTCTCTGGTTTAAACAAAACAAAAACCACACAGACAAAAAAACAAGAAGACAGTTAAACATGGACCAGGTCTTTTCAGAGATTGGGGCTGCCCGGGATGGGGTGCTGTCTACCTTCCTGGCCCCGCCTTGTGTGTCAGGATTGTTTACCTCCTTGACAACATGGCTCTACATGGCTTTGCAGAGCCATGGACCACCCTCCCATCCCCCCTCTCCACCTCTGATGCGTTACCGCCAGAGTGATTTCCCCAACATAGACCTGTCATTCTTAAAAACCTATGATACTCCTTATTTACAGACTGGACATTAAGCTTGTGTGATGTTTGCAGCTCTTATCATCTGGCTTATTATCTAAGGCCTTTCAAGCCTTATTTCTCCTCCACTATCATTTGTGCACAGTCTAGCCTAGCCAAATCTGACTTTACCCAACATACCACACACACTTGCACTTTTTTGTGTGTGTGTGGCATAATTAAGCTCGACCTTGCTTGTAAACCTTGCCTCCCCTCTTCCCTACCTGGCTTGGTGAATTCCTTTAAGATGCCACTCTGTACTTTCTTCCTCCTTTTGTGGAATTTACTTGGCATACTGGACAGATTTATGTTTCTGGAAGATGAAGACTGTCCTGTTTGGTTTTGTATTCATCAAGTATTCAATAGATTGGTTTTTGATGAAACTGGAGTTTGAAGTGTGGTGGGTTTTTTTTTTTGGGGGGGGGGAGTTTGACCCAGTGCTGGTGACTCACCCCTCTAATTCTAGCTACTCAGGAGGCTGAGATCTGAGGATTGTAGTTCAAAGCCTGCCAAGGCAGGAAAGTCCATGAGTCCCTTATCTCCAGTAAACTACTCAGAAAAATCCAAAAGTGGTGCTGTGGTACAAGTGGTAGAGTGCTAGCCTTGAGCACAAAGAGGCTCAGGGACAATGCCCACCCAGGCCCTGAGTTCAAGCCCCAGGACTGGCAAAAAAAAAAAAAAATTAAATTCACTCTACCACTTGAGCCATAGCTCTAGTTCTTAGGGCTTTTTTCCCCCTAATTGTTTTTCTGCTTTTTGAGTGCCTGTTGTGTACCTGATGTTAGGGATAAGTGAAGAAGGCAGATAAAGTCCCTCTCATGGAGTTTATAGACTCATACAAGAAGATGGAAAGACAGTGCTTATTGACGGGGTGCTAAATGTTATGAACAAAATAGATGCTCTGTTAAGGAGTGGGGACAGAGGAACCACCAATCACAATGGAGGGAGCTGCCATATAGGAAGCACAGCATAGTACCCTCCTCACACAGTGAACAGTGCATTTAGAGTGTGCTGGGACTACTCAACAGCATGGCCCACTGGAGAACGGAGAAGGCTGGTATGGCTGGAAATAAGGAGTGACTAAATACAAGGGATACACAGGCAGACTTGCTTGAGGTCAGGCAGGTAAAGTCATGTTGGGCCTTGTAAGCTAAGGTGAGGATGACAGATTGTATTTTAAATGCTTTAGGTAGTAATTACAGTTTCAAGCTGAATTGACATGACTTCTTCATAAGTATCTGTGAAAATCAATAGAATTGAATACAAATTAATTTCATTTGCAGTCATGTCTAGTATACTGAAGCTTCTTTCTACACAATACAATGCAGTCTTCACTTGTGCCCAGCCATTACCAAGTCCTCATAGTTTGGGTACTTATTTACTCAATTGTGTTGAGCATATTACTCAACTGTGTTGGACTGGAATAATCCATTGGGATTTTGTTGTAATATTAGTGGCAAAGTTTGAATCTGAGATAGCATGATGACTTTTCTCTCCCAGAGTGATTTATTGCATACCATTTCTATTTGCACTGTGTCTCAGTATCATCTGTGACACTCATTAAGCATAGAAATACCTGAGGTACAGATCTTACTCAAGTGAATTGAAGTCTTATCTTTAGAATAGTAGTTTTTAGCCTCCATATGCATCAAAATTACATTTGGTGTTTGTTCCAGATTCTTTTCTGTTTAACTGCAGGGGCAGTGGAGAAAGAAGAATCAAGAAGAGAGGAAATAAACCTGAATTTCTAAAACTAGAGAGATTCTTAGGTTTACAAAATTTACTTTGAGTTTCTCTTGAGTTTATACAAATATGAGGATGCTGCTTCTATAAAATCTGAAAACCAAAGCCTAACTTGTTAACATATCCTGCCCATGGCCTTGACAAACCCTCTGTGATTGAAGATTCTGTTGCCCCAGTGAGATCATTGACTGTTTACTTTCTGTGACTTGTGAGTGATTCCTTTTCTGAATGATTAGAAATGTTCTTTCCTAGCCAGACACTGGTGGCTCATGCCTGTAATCTCAGGATGCTGGGTTCTTTGGAACCTGGTTTGCAGCCAGCTTGGGCAGATGAATTTGAGAGGCTCCAACCCCAGCCAGCTAGCAAAAAGGCAGAAGTAGGAAAATAACTCGGGTAGCAGAGTGCCAGCCTTGAGTGGAAAAAGTTAAACAAGAAGCCGGGAGCCGGTGGCTTATGCCTGTAATCCTAGCTACTCAGGAGGCTGAGATCTGAGGATCTCGGTTCAAAGCGAGCCCGGGCAGGAAAGTCCCTGAGACTCTTATCCCAATAAACCACTAGAAAACTGGAAGTGATGTTGTGGCTCTATCGGTAGAGCGCTTGCCTTGCTTGAGCTGAGGAGCTGAGGGATAGCGCCCAAGCCCAGAGTTCAAGCCCCACGTCCGACCAAAAAAAAAGAAAGAAAAGAAAAAGTTAAGAGCATGAGGCCCTGAGTTTAACCCTAGTATGGACACACACACACACACACAAACACACACACACACACACACAGAAGAATCTATTTTCCTAATTTGGGTTCATTCTCCACAAATTTTTATGCAGTGTAATAGTATTGAACACAAGTATGTTTGAAAATTCAATGTAGTACAAAATATATAGAGAGAATATTATTTATATCTAACATTTCATAATTTGGGACAGTCAGTAATTTGTATAGCCACAAAATTCGAAGTATAATGATACAGATTTGCATTTTTTTTTAACTAGTCTTGGGAATTGAACTCAGGGCCTGGATGCTATCCCTAAGCTTTTTTTTGGGGGGTGGGGAGGGGCGTCTGATCATAGGGCCTGAACTCTGAGCCTGGGTGCTATCCCTCAGCTCTTCAGCTCAAAGCTAGCGCTCTACCACTTGAGCCAACAGCGCCACTTCCAGTTTTGTTTTTTTTCTGCTTATGTGGTGCTGAGGAATGGAGCCCAGGGCCTCATGCATGCAAGGCAAGCGCTCTACCACTGAGCCACTTTCCCAATCCTCCCTAAGCTTTTGTGCTACAGGCTAGTGCTCTTCCACTTGAGCCCAAAAGTGTAGAGTACAGCTCTACTCACAGCTTTTTGTTGGTGAATTGGAGATAAGAGTCTCACAGACTTTTTCTGTCTAGGCTGACTTTGAACCCTGGTCCTGATCCTCAAATCTCAGTCTCTTGAGTAGCTAGGATTACAGGCATGAGCCATCAGTGTCCAGGTAGATATGATTTTTAAGTGGACTCTAATAGTTGATTTTAATGAAAATGTATTTTGGGCTGCAGTAGTTTAATCCTTTAAAAGAAAATTAGAACAAAACAGTTAGAACAAAATGCTAACATATTAAGAAACATACCTTGAAAATATTGGAAAGAAAAAGACTTTGAAAACCACTTTGTTTTACCTGAGTAACATATCTTCCTTTACGTGGAGTTGTTCACTGTCATGATGAATATAGGAAAACTCCCTGATTTGCAGTTCACTGTATATCTTCTCTGTTGTAGATTTTCTTGTGAAATTTATAACTGTAGAGACTTCAGGACTTATTTGTGAGCTGAAATAGTTTAAAATGTACTACTCACAAGGTAGATGCATTAGCTAACACACTGAATACATTCTAGAAAATATTTTATTGTGGTAGTGAATTGGAGATAAGTAAAGAGAAACCAAATTCAACCATATTTTTACTTGTAACTTTACAATTTTCTCTTATACTAATTGTGATTCTGGTTACTGCCAGCTGTTGCTATGTTAGTCGAAGACTTAGCCAGCTATCAACTCATGATCCGTTATGGAGAAGACATTGCAAAAAGTACTGGCTGATATCAGAGTAAGTATTCACACTATGTATTTTGTATATGTGGAAGAGGGTGGATGAGATTTCTTTAGACTAAATTTTAACTTTGTGGTTTTCTTTAATATATACAGTAATTTGTACATACTATGAGGTAAGTGTCATACTTCAATACAGGTATACAGTATATAATGATGTTTATCAGATTTTCATTTCTGTGAATTAACTAAGGTGAACATTTCTGTCTTCTTAAACTTTATGTTGGGAACCTTCCAATTCCTCTTAGTTCTCATAAAACTATGTAGTATAAAATATAAAATAAATTTTTATAAACTATAGTTCTGTGTGCTATAGAAAATTAGAATTCTTTCCTTCTATTTAACACTACGTTAGTAGCTGTTAGCCACTCTCCATCTGACCCTCCTCCCTCTCTTTCCTAGCTTACACTTGGAAACTGCTAGTCCACCCATCCTGATGTTCCTTTCTAACCCTGGTTTCTCTCTCCTTTTTTAGCTCTTTGTGTCTGCCAGTAAATGTTAGTGCTCTCTGTTCTTAGCCCATTCCTGTTTACCTTCATGAGTGCTGCTTGCCACGTTTAGAGCAACTACCCAAATCCTTCCCTTTCATATCCCCAATGGGCTCCAGGCTTCTTGGCACAACTATCTACTGTAGGATATTTCTTTTGGCCATATGCTTGAGCTGGGTTCAGCGAATGTTAACAGATTTGCCAGAATAAAGTGAAAATGACAAACAGTTGGGGTGTGAATGTTAGGAATACTGACTTTTCTTAGCTTGTGGGATGTCAGCTTGAGACTGAAGTTGGTAAAGTGAGAAGTGAAAATTTAAGTACTATTGTTTAAAGCTGCTAGCTTTAGTTCTATCAAACACTAGGAAAAGGAAGAATGGAGGAGTTCTGAGTATTGTTGTGTCCTTGCCTTTAATTTTGTAGGGTCAGCAGCTACATACTAAATGTATCAGATGAATGTATGTATCAGATATGTAAGCATTTAGAATTAGAGAAAAACTTCGATAAATAGCGCATGTTTATTAGTTTGGGCTGAGAACTAGAGTCTGTTTTGCTGTACCTTTTTAATATAGATTTTAGTTTCTATGCTACTGGAGATTGAACATAAGGCCTCACTAAACAAGTCTCTGCCAATGATCTACATTGTCAACCAAGTTCTTTGGTACTATTTAGTTTGGATAATATATATATATATGTATATATATAATATATAAGAATATATAGCAATATATATAATAATATAATGCCAATATACTAATAATAATATATAATATAATAATATATACTATTAAGATAATGTAACAATGTATAATATATAAATAATATATATTATTTAGAGTAATTAAAAAAATATTCTTGGGCCTGGCGCTGGTGGCTCTCACCTGTAATCCTAGCTATTCAGGAAGCTGAGATCTGAGGGTTGTGGTTCAAAGCCAGCTCAGGCAAGAAAGTCTATAAGCCTCTCATCTCCAGTAAACCACCAGAAAACTGGAAGTGGCACTGTGGCTCAAGTGGTAGAGTGCTAGCCTTGAGCTGAAGAGCTGGAGGGATACCGCCCAGGCTCAGAGTTCAGGCCCCATGACCGACCAAAAAAAAAAGTTAAAAAGTTCTCTTCCCTCCTCATTCCCTGCCCCAACTCCTCTCTTTGAACCAGTGTGGTAGGTAGTATATGCTTGTATTCCCAGCATTTGGGAGGCAGAGGAAGAAGGTCAGACTGAAACTCTATCCCAAGATAACAAAAACAAATTTGTTTTTTGTTTTCCCAATATCTAAACCTGTTCTTCTGCTTCCTAGTCTTCATGGCAGCACCATCCATCCATCTAGGTATTACAGCTAGAATTAGGAGTCACTCATTCTCTCTCTTTCTCTATATTATTACCGAGCCTTCCTGACTTACGTCCAGTCATGGGGCTTGAACTCTGGGCCTGGGCACTGTCCCTCAGCTCTTCAGCTCAAGGCTAGCACTCTACCACTTGAGCCACAGCTCCACTTCAGGCTTTTTTTCTTTTTGCTTATGTGGTCCTGAGGAATCGAACCCAGGGCCTCATGCATGCAAGGCAAGCACTCTACCACTGAGCCACCTTCCCAGCCCCCTCATCTTCCTATTTTTACTAACTACCACAGCTTTAGTTCCATTGATTACTGCTCATCAGGAATACTACAAAACCTTCCAAACCTCTTTAATGCCTCATTTACTCACTTTAATCTATCCTTCCATACTATACCATACCTCAGCTCTTTTAACTTTCCCACAAAACCCTTCATAGGGGCTGGGAACATGGCCTAGTGGTAGAGTGCTTGCCTAGCATGCATGAAAGCCCTGGGTTCGATTCCTCAGTACCACATAAGCAGAAAAAGCCAGAAGTGACGCTGTGGCTCAAGTGGTAGAGCGCTAGGGACAGCTCCTAGGTCCTGAGTTCAAGCCCCAGGACTGGCAATAAATAAATAAATAAATAAATACCCTTAAATTTATGCTTTATTTTTTTCTCCTATTATATCCTTTTGAGGGCAAAAAAAGTACCCTGGGGGGGGGGGGGGGAGGGTGGCTCAAGAAGTAGAGTACCTTGCCCAGCAATAGCAAAACCTAATACTTCACAAAATAAGTGTCTTTATTTTTAGGTTTTTATTTTTTTTTATTTTATTTTATTTTTTTGTCGGCCATGGGGCTTGAACTCTGGGCCTGGGCGCTGTCCCTCAGCTCTTCAGCTCAAGGCGAGCGCTCTACCACTTGAGCTACAGCGCCACTTCCGGTTTTCTGGTGGTTTATTGGAGATAGGAGTCTCACGGTCTCTCCTGCCCGGGCTGGCTTTGAACTGTGATCCTCAGATCTCAGCCTCCTGAGTAGCTAGGATTACAGGCGTGAGCCACCAGCGCCCAGCTTATTTTTAGGTTTTTAATGGCTAAGTGTACACTCAGTAAATGTGAAGTTCTACCAAATAAAAATGACATATAATTATCTTGATACTTTATGATTATCTGGCTAATTCAATGTAGATATGTTAAATTAATATTATATCATTAGGCTATTCTCTAAAATAGTACTATATATAGCTTTAAAATTTTTATAGTTGAGCGGACACCTCTGGCTCACACCTATAATCCTAGCGGCTCAGGAGACTGAGATTTGAGAATCATGGTTCGAAGCTAGCCCTGGTAGGAAAGCCCATGAGACTCTTATTTCCAGTTAGCCATCAGAAAACTGGAAGCAGCATGGTGGCTTCAAAGTGGTTAGGTGCTAGTCTTGAGCACAAAAGCTCAGGGACAGCACCCAGGCCCTGAGTTCAAGCCCCATGACTGACCAAAAAAAGTTGTAATTGGTATATTTTTAGCAATAAGTTAAAGTTTGAATCCCCATATTGTTCACATTATATTTTATTAAGGAGTAGAAACTTAGAAAAAATAAGTAGAAAGTAAGAAATAACACATAATTCTACTAGGTCATAACTGCTGTTAAAGTTGCCGATGTATCACTTCTGTATCTAACCTCCCTTTGTGGCTGAAATAAACAAAGAGAAAGTAAAGGAACCACAAATACCCAATAAAGTATATTGTTAAATGTTAAAAATAATATGCTATTTCAAATGTCTTTTGAAATCTTTGTAGGGAAGAGAAAGCACGGAAGCGTCAGTGCTGGAAATCTCTCTTCATAGACACTTACTGTGATGTAGGAAGATACATTGATCATTATGCTGCTATTAAAAAGGCCTGGGATGACCTCAAAAAGTACTTGGAGCCCCGCTGTCCTCGGATGGTCATGTCTCTGAAAGGTACTGGGAATAAAGTGTCATCCTTCTCCCTTTTAGTTACTGCTAGCATATAGTACAATATATAGATTAGTTTAAGTAACTTTGAATCACTATCATTTGTGCACGTATGCTAATTAAATCTTGTTTAGTATCCACTTATTTCCACTCTGATCATTTTTATTTTCTTCTACTAATTTTGGGTTTCACTTTTGAGGTTCATCATAAAGTTATTTGGAATCTCTCTGATTTTTTAAGTAAGGACTTGTAGCTATAAACTTGCCTTTCCTAACTGTCTGCCACACTCTGGTATATTTTTTTATTTTCTTTTTGATTCTAGAAAATTGAAATTTTCCTTCTTGATTTCTTCAAGGATCCACTGACCATTCAGATGTGTATCATTCAATCTTCATGTGTTTGTGTAGTTTCTATAGTTTTTTTGCTATTGATGTCTAATTTTGTTCTATTGTAATCTGATAAGATACAAGAAACAACTTGTACATGCTTTATGGTGTAAAATGTGATTATTTTCAACTTTGTCTTTATTTAATTCACCATTCTTCTTTGGCCAAGGAAGCAGAACACCAATTTGTTTAAAGGACCTTTGATCTCTAGAGGAAGTGGAAATTTTATCTTTTTGCCATTCCTGGTGCTTGAACTCAGGGATTGGGCACTGACCTGAGCTTCTTTTGCTCAAGGATAGCACTTTACCATTTGAGCCACAGTGGCACTTCCATCTTTTTCTGTTTGTGTGGTGCTGAGGAATCAAGCCCAAGGTTCATGCAAGCACGCTACCACTAAGCCATATTCCCAGCCCTTTATTTTTTATTACAGAAACAACTGATTCTACAAGATTGCTTGAGAATACTTATCATGATCTCATTTTGAAAGGTTTTGTTTTATGTGATGCTGGAGCTCAAACCCAGGTCAAATGCATACTACCACTGAGTTACACCATAGCCTTAAAGATTTTCTAGTTATTATTATTTTTAATACTTGAGTTGAACACAGTGCCTCCAGAAGATTTCTATTTTTCAAATTTATATACATTGTATGATTGTATTTTTTGTGTGTTTTGGTTGTGAGAGTCAACTGTATTATATGTAATCATTTTCCTCTTTTTGTTGCAATATAGTTCCATTATAAGAGTAGACTACGGTGTGTACATGTGCAATGTTTTTTTTTTTCCTAGTTCTGGTTAATAATAGTAGTGCTGTAAATTTGATGTAAAGATTTTTGACACATAGGCATATTCTTATCAGGCAAATATCTAGGGTTGGGTTTTCTGAGTTAAACTTCAAAAGATACTGGTAAATTATTCTACCAGTACTTTAAAATTTGATTTTAGTCTTAGTAGAGCTAAAGTATTGGTTTAATTTTCACTTCTCTGAGGTGGTAGAATAGTGATAGTTGTATTTCCAACTTTGCCATCCTTCCATATCATTTCTTTCTTTTCCTTGCTTTATAAAAGCTATACTGTATTGGGTAGCAGTAACGATAGTATAAATCTTTGCTCAGCGTTGGCGTATAGCTTCCTACCTTTAAATATGAAGCTTGCTCTAGAATTTTTGTTAGCTATTCTTTTATTTGTTTTCGTTTTTTTGAGACAGGTCCGATATAGCACAGGCTAGCCTTGAACTTCTCAGCCTCTCAAGTCCTGAGATTAAAGGCATGTGACACCATACCCACATAGATTTTTTTTTTTAAACTGGGTCTTGGACTCTGCCTGGAATTCTTGCTTAGCTTTTTTGCTTGAGCTGGTGCCCTGCCTTTTGAGCCATACTTCCAGTTCTGGCTTTTTGTTAGTTAATTAGACCTAAGAGTCATGAAGATTTGTCTGCCTGGCCTTGCTTTGAACTGAGATATCCTCAAAGCTCAGCCACCTGCATAGCTAGGATGATAAGTGTAAGCCACTAGCACCTGGCTAGTGATGGAATTTTATCAAATAAACTCGTCTGCCTTAGGATTACCATATGATTTTTCTTTATTATTCTGTTATGTGATAAATTGATTTTCTGAAGGCTAACAAACTTAGGATTCCTAGACTTAATTTATTTTGATTATAATACATCATCTTTAAAGTATTAACTTGCTAGTACTTTTGGGGGTCTTTTAATTAATACTTTCTGAGAGAGTTTGGTCTGTAATTTTCCTTTCTTGCAATGTTCCTATCAGGTTTTGGTATCAAGATGATGCTGCCTTGTAAAACAAGTGAGGAAGTGTTGCCTCTTTTTCTGTTTCCTGGAAGAGTTTATGTAAGCTCAGTCTTATTTCTTGCTTAAATGATTTGTAGAACATGCTACCAAGCCATTGAACCCTGCAGTTTTCATTATGGGAAGGATTTTAATTAGGGGTCCAATTTTTTAGCTATAGGACTATTCAAGACTTCTGTTTATTCTTATGTCAATCCTTCTTCCCTTTCTGCCTCCTTCCCTCCCTCCCTCTTTTCTTCTCTCTTCCTCCCTGTCTCTCTCTCTCCCCCTCCCTCCCTTCCTCCCTTCCTTCCTTCTCTCTCTCTCTTCCTCTCTCTCTCTCTCTCTCTCTCTTCCTATGTGTGTGCGTGCACACATGTGTGCTGGGAGGGCCTGGGTGCTATTTTTGAGCTATTTTTGCTCAAAGCTACCACTACTCCTTGAACCACAATTCTGCTTTTAGCTTTTTGGTGGTTAATTGGAAATAAGAGTCTCATGGACTTTACCTGCTTGGGCTGGCTTATAACTATGATTCTTAGATCTCAGCCTTCTGAGCTATAGTTACAGGTATGAGTTACAAGCACCGATCTGTGTCAGTTTTAATATATAATGCTTACCTACTGAATTGCCTATTTCATCTACATTTTCAAATGTATTGGCATGAAATATCTTAAATCCTTTATCTTTTTAATGTTTATTACATTTGTAGTGATAGCACTTTTACTACTTCTGGTAATAGTTATTTGTATTTTCTTTCTATTTTTCTTTATCTTCTCAGGTAGGGGCTAATCAGATCTTTAAAAAAATCTGGGTTTTTGATTCATCCATTCTATTTATGTTTTTTATTTAATTTTTTCATGCCTTCACTTTTAGTTTTTCCTCTGACTTAAGATTATTACTTAGATCATAGATTTTTTTTCTATCCTAATATATTTAGTACTTATCTTGCAAGTTTTGAAATGTTTTTTGTTTTTTTTTAATTATTACCCTGCAACATAGTGTTTTGAGGTTTTTGTCTTGCTTTTAGGTAAGGTCTTCTAAGTAGACCAAGATAGCCTAACACTCAGTGTGTAGCCCTGGCTAACCTCAAACTCATAATCCTGTATTTATAAACTATTGAGTATTGGAATTACAGGTATGCTTAGTGTGTGTAGTTTTGTTTTTGTTTTTTGTTGGTTGTAGGACTAAGGACTAAGGCCCTGGTTCTGTCCCCAAGCTCTTTTTGCTCAAGGCTAGCGCTTTACCACTTGGAGCCACATTGCTACTTCTGGCTTTCTGGCGGTTAACTGGAGCTAAGAGTCGTGGAGACTTCTGGCCCAGGCTGGCTTTGAACCATGATCCTCAGATCTCAGCCTCCTTTCTAGCTAGGATTACAGGCACTGATTTCTTTTTTAACCCATTATATAGAGATGTATTGTTTGATTTCCTAACATTTGAAGTTTTTATTTTTTGGTAATCTTTTAGATTCTTTTTTTTTGGGGGGGGGAGAGGGGAGGGTCCAGTCGTGGGGCCTGAACTCTGGGCCTGGGCACTGTCCCTCAGCTCTTCAGCTCAAGGCTAGCACTCTACCACTTGAGCCACAGTGCCACTTCCGGCTTTTTCTGCTTATGTGGTGCTGAGGAATCAAACCCAGGGCCTCATACATGCAAGGCAAGCGCTCTACCACTGAGCCACCTTCCCAGCCCTTTTAAAGTAGTTTCTATTTTAGTTTCTCTGTGATCAGAGAACATACCTTGTATTCATCTATCATTTATAAGTTATTTTGGTTAGGAGCTGGTCACTCGTTTCTGTAATCCTAGCTAATTAGGTGGCTAAAGGGGCAGGGAAAGTGGCTCAGTGGTAGAGTGCTCGCCATGCATGCATGAGGCCCTCTGTTCAACTCCTCAGTACCACAGAAACAGAGAAAGCCAGAAGTGGTGCTGTGGCTCAAGCGGTAGAGTGGTAGCCTTGAGCTGAAGAGCTTAGGGACAGCACCCAGGCCCAGAGTTCAGGCCCTATGACTGACAAAAAAAAAAAAAAATAGGAGGCCTAGAACTGAGGATCACAGTTCCAAACTAGCCTGGATAGAAAAGTCCATGAGATTTTTATCTCTAATTAACTACTAAAAAGCCTGAAATGGAGCTGTCAAGTGCTAGCCTTGAGCAGAAAAAGCAGAGGGACTGCACCAAAGCCCTGAGTTAAAGCCCTGTACCAGCACACAAAAAAAGAAAAGTTGTTACGTTTTTTAGCATGACTCCTTTAGTAATTGTTGCATGTTTACTCAATAACATCAATAACAATGTATATTCAATAGCTATTTAGCTCAGTACTATATAATTAAGTAAAAGTTATTTATCTGAATCTGGTTTTTGACACCCTTATTGATACTGTTTTTGTTTATTGTTTTTCTTCCTTAAGGAGAGAGGTAGGTTAGAATCTCTCAACCTGTTAGGCAGCCTTCTCAGGTAGTACACAGGGCTTTTGTTTCTTGTGTATAAACCAAGTTCAATCTTCTCTTAAGTATAGGCAGATTCTACTCCTGTGATTAGGCTCTATTATGATATGGACAAGGTGAAGTTAAGTTCTAAATAATTTGACTATCAGTTCATCCCTAATCAAAAAGAAAATTATCTTTAGTAGGCTTGACTTAGGTCAACCTTTAAAAGGGGCTTGGTTTTCCAGAAACCAGAGATTCACAGTTTAAGTGTGCTCCCTGCTGACTTTGGATAAACAAGCTGGTATGTTGTGGAGGGAATGGTGGGTGGCCTCTAGGCATTGATTACCTCAATTGCACAATTAGAACGAATCAGATTCTACCGATAGATTAAACTGGAAGAATCCCAAGCAAAAGTTGTGTAAGAGGAGTTAGCAGCCTCAGCTTAGACAAGATTTCAGTCTTGTGATACATGTACAGAGGATCTGGTTGAGTCATACCTGGACTTCTGACGCACAGAAACAATACATCTGCATCCTGGCTCAATTTCCTTGGGAGGTTAGCCCAGCCTACTCACCTCCCCTCAGCTGAGCCTACAGTAAAGGAGCCAGGTGTCTGTCTATGTGGGAGAGGTGCATAAGAAAAACCTACCCCATTCAAGCTGGCCTCACACTTACTTAAAAAATAAGTTAGCCAGGCACTAGTGGCTCACACCTGTAATCTTAGCTACTCAGAAGGCTGAGATCTTAGAATCGTGCCTCCAAGCCAGCTTGGACAGCAAAGTCCATGAGATTCTTAACCCCAATTATCCACCAAAAAGCCAGAAGTGGAGCTGTGGTTCATTTGCCTTGAGCACAGAAGCCCAGGGATAATGCCCAGGCCCTGATTTTAAGTCCCCCAGGACTGGCACAAAAAAAAAAAAAAGAGAAAAAAAATACTGAGGGTTATTTTAAGCAGTTAATATTGTAGCAATAAAACTCACATACCCACTATTCTTGTAGATATATCTTTTTGGCATTTTAGTTCTGTCACATTATTTGTATATGTGGTGTATGTATGTATGTATGTATGTATGTGCTGTGTTATTTAGATGTATGACATGAGAAAGATTATATCTATTTAGTAAGTTCAGCCTTTTTGTCATTATAAATGTCCAGTATTAACTCTTAGGAAGTTTTTGCCTTCTTTTGTTTTTTTTTTTTGTTTTGTTTTGTTTTTGTTTTTGTCTTGTTCTTTGTCTGGGGACTAAACCTAGGGCCTCATGTTTGCATAAGCATGAGCTCTAGCTTTGAGCTACACCCCTAGGCCCTTTTATGTGGTCTGTCAGACTATTTAGCCCATTCATACTTAATGTATTTGCTATGAAGTATATCGTGTCCACTGTTCTTTTTTTTTTAACATTCATTTTATGTTTTCATTTTATATTCCACACACACCCCTATTTTTTTTCCTAGTGATTATAGTTGAAATTAAGACATGAAACTTGACTTATAAACTCTAATGTAAATTAGTATGGTCATCATTCCCTACCAGGGATGGGTAACATTTGAATATTTATAACATCACTTTTGGATCATACAAAATTACCCATAAACTATTGCAGATAGCATTGTATTTGTATTGTTATGTACCAAACAATTTCACAGATCTTAGATGGCCCAATAGCTGGACAGTTTTCACTCTTGTAAGTGAAAGAATGTTAAAATACCTTAATTCTAATGGTCTTCCTCCTGCCTCTTACATTATTTTAGAGAAGGGTACTGGTGGTTGAACCCACGGCCTCACATGTTAGGCAAGTGAGTGATATCTCAAATCTCAAATCCCTTTATATTTTATGGTTTTGATGTTCAACATATTCCTGTAAATGTTATTATTTTCTATATATTTAACATTATTTAGATTTCTATTTGAGATTTTTTTCTGGTATCTTTTTATTCCTTCCTACAGCCTCATGTTCCTATCTGAAGAATTCCTTTTAGTATTTCCTTTCATGAAGAATTGCTGCTGTTGAATGTTGCCTGGTTTGTTTGGGTTTTTTTTCCCTTCCTCTCTCTTCTTCTCTCCCTCTCTTCTTCCTTTCTTTCCCGCTCTTTCCCCTGCCTTTTTCCTTTTCTTCACTGGCAACTGAAGCCAGGCTCTTATACTTGCTAGGCACGCACTTTACCACTTGAGATACACTGCTAGCCCTGTCAGATTTATTTTATTTACACTGTTGAAGGATGTATTCCCTGATCAGCAGTGATTTGTCCCCCCACCACTTGAAGACATCATTCTTGTAAGTTCTATTGTTTTTGTTGAGAATTAAGATCTCAGCCATACTTGTAAGTTAATTATATGTTTTTCTCCTTTCTGACTCCTTTTAAGATTTGTGTCTTTGATTTCATCCCTTTTCCAGTGCTCTGTCTAGATATGATTTCTAATCATCCTCCATGGAGTGTACAATGTTTCCCTGTTGAGAGAAAACCAAGAACTTTGCTTTTCTCTGGGCTTCAAATGACTTTCAATTATTTTTTCTTTACCTTAGCATTCTGTTTTGGACAGAACTCACTTGGCTGTGATTCTTGCACTGCTTAGCTAGTAGATGGTTAGATTTAGGCTCAGTGTGTCTCATTCTCTGTCTGGTTTGCATCTGCAGAGGGTGCTCGTGAGGAAGACCTTGATGCAGTCGAAGCTCAGATTGGTTGTAAGCTTCCTGATGATTATCGGTGTTCATACCGTATCCACAATGGGCAGAAGTTAGTCGTTCCTGGGTAAGATGCTTGATTTTTTTTTAAATTTTAAATGATGCAAGTTATTTTCTTCTAGAAAGTACATAATCTATAATTATCCTTCATAAATTACAAGAATACAGACTTTCCCCTTCTTCTTTATAGTGATCCAGAAGACAATCTCTATGGCTTGATTTATGTTTTGCCAAAATAAATGTCTCCGTGTCATTTCAACCTACACATCTCTTAGGTTTGACTGGGTTCAGTGGCTCACGCAGTCCTAGATACTCAGGAGGAGATCAGTGGCTTGAGGCCACTTCTGGCGAAAAATTCGTGAGACTGTATCTCAGTGAAAAATGCTACATGTGCAAGGTGTTCTGCTAATTATTGCTTAGGACATTGTCACTGTGAAATTGTGTGTGGAAAAGGTGAGGTATAGTTGTTTATTGGTATGTTTTATATGTATTTTCTCCTCAGATTGTTGGGAAGTATGGCACTGTCAAATCACTATCGTTCTGAAGATTTGTTAGATGTTGATACAGCTGCTGGGGGATTTCAGCAGAGACAGGGGCTAAAGTACTGTCTCCCTTTAACGTTTTGCATACATACTGGTTTGAGTCAGTATATAGCTGTGGAAGCTGCAGAAGGTCGAAACAAAAATGAAGTTTTCTACCAATGTCCAGTAAGTAGGAATGTGTTTACTTGTGGCTTCAGGATACTTCCTGATGGATCATATAATAGTGTGCATTTTCTTTCAAGTTATATAGAATAAATTTAGAGCATTATGCATTTTAATTACTAGATAGTTTATGTTCTTGTTTTTAAAGTATGGAATGCTGAAAGAAAATAATCACCTTTGGACAAACAGTGGGCACTGCTGTATAGATAATGGGAAAGCTGGCATTTCTGTTAAGACCTTTTAAGTTTAAAGAAAACTAATGAGGAACTTATCAAAATAATTATATTTACGGTTTAGCTTTTGAATACCCTAGAATTATTTGAGTTTCTTCATTCTGAATCCAAAGCCCTTTCTTGTAGCATAACAAGCCACATATCTTATTCCTTCAACTTTATGATTGTGTTCTTGTGGGATAATTTATTAATTCACTATAGCAGTGATAGCTTGTTGTAATTTTATCTTATGGACAAGTGCCTAGTCATCTTCTAACAATCTTAAAGGAAGGCCCTAAAAATAGAGACAGATTCATAGGAGCAGGATCTGAAGAGTGTGAGGGCTGAGTGTTGGTTGGAATCTTTACATTTTGTTTTACTTTGTTTCAGAAGACAATGCAAGTAACAAACAATGAGAAATGTATTTATGAATTACCTTTTTTTCTCTTCTAGGACCAAATGGCTCGGAATCCAGCTGCTATTGACATGTTTATCATAGGTAGGGAAAAAAGCCATTTTTTTCCCTTTTTCCTTCTGGTTAAAATTTTTAAAAAGATTGGTAAAACTTCAGTTAGTTGAGCAGCTGACATGCCTGGATTTGGTAAAGTTTTCTGGCTTGTAAAGTAGCCTCTAAGTTCTCATTGGAAAAGCACTTCTGTTTTAAGTATTGTTTCTATTTGAAAAAAGCATATGTTGTACAACCTTATGTTCTTAGTCCTCTTCTTGAATTGCAGTACGTATATAGTTCTTTTAACATGTGTGTATTATTTATTGAGCATGTGAATACTAAGACATATTTTTCTTTTTTGTGTCTAATTATCCATAATAAGATATATGCCTCAGAAGCAGCAGTCTTTATCACCAGTATAAAATACTCGCTTCATAACTTCTTCACACACCTAGTTTTCCCTGGCCATGGAAGAATATTTCTTAAGTTTTTATGAATTTTAGGTTACTATGCAGGCATGACTCACTCTTTTGCTAGCCATCCTATCTCCTTTTACTTAGATTTTACCCACTTAAAAGCTTCTGACTATCCAACTTTTTAAAAGCATTTCTGACACATGAAATATCCCCACATAGCTGGGCGCTGGTGGCCTCACACCTGTAATCCTAGCTACTCAGGAGGCTGAGATCTGAGGATCGCAGTTCAAAGCCAGCCCGGGCAGGAAAGTTAGTGAGACTCTTATCTCCAATAAACCACTAGAAAACTGGAAGTGGCGCTGTGGCTCAAGCGGTAGAGTGCTCGCCTTGAGCTGAAGAGCGCAAGGACAGGGCCCAAGCCCAGAGTTCAAGCCCCACAACAAAAAAAAAAAAAAAAAAATCCCCACATCGTAATCTATAGTAGAGAGGGCACTTGGTATAACTCAGTAGTAGAGCATGTGTTTAGCAAGTGCAGGACCCCACGTTCAATCCCCAGCACTATTTAAATTTTTTTTTAAAGACAGGTCGAGCTGGGTGCCGGTGGCTCACGCCTATATCCTAGCTTCTCAGCATCACGATTCAAAGCCAAGGCAGAAAAGTCCATGAGACTCTTATCTCTAGTAAACCACCAGAAAACCAAAAGTGGTGCTATGGCTCAAGTGGTAGAGTACTCGCTTGAGCTCCACTGCTGAGGGACAGCACCCAGGCCCGGAGTTCAAGCCCCACAACTGGAGGGGAAAAAAGTCTTCAGAAGGGAGGAGAAATAGTGTTCTTCCTAGCTAAGATGTCTTTGTGTAAATCTTCCTACTAGAATCTTGAACGGAAAACAAATGAATTAGAAACTATAAACAGAAGATAGTCATTGTTGTACTAGAAATAATTATAAGTATAAAGATGCTTTGAAAGTAGTTATTGGGGTCTCTGATGTGAGCTGAGAAAATGCCAAGGAAGAGTTACAATTCATTGTCCTGTGTGCATATTTTACACAAACGATTTGCTCATTTTCCCCTTTTTGTATTATAGGTGCTACTTTCACTGACTGGTTTACCTCCTATGTCAATAACGTTGTATCTGGCAGCTTCCCCATCATCAGAGACCAAATTTTCAGGTATTTATTTCATTTAGGATTTTTGGGGTATAATTGAGTATAATTCATGAAAAGCTGTCCATCACAGTGATTGAGATGAAGTGTCCCCAAAAGACTAGTACAGAACCTCTTATTTTAAAACTCTCTTACTCTCACTTTAAAGTAAAAATACCACAGCACTTAATTAACTAGCTTTTGTTTTCTTATCTTGAGACATCAAGAGGAAAAACTGACTTTGATTTAAAATCTGTGGGTTGGTAGTAGCTATATTATTCTTCCTTGGAAAAAAAAGAAACAAAGGTTGTTTGTCAGTTATTTGACTTAAGCAGTAAGTCATCAGCTAATAACTCCTGGCCAATATTGTTTATTATCTCCTAAATAGAACATTCAGGAGTTATAGTTAATCCTAGAGGTGATATTAGTTCTCAGTAGCCTTTGTGGCTGAAATAACAGATTAATTATACATTAAAGGTTTTTAAATTCAGGAATAAATAATAATTATATATTTCAGGCGAATTATACTTTCATATATTTTATATATTTCTGGGCATAGCCAGAGGCACCATTTAAAAGATAGACAGATGTTTGTCAAGCTTTCCTAGCTGAAAGTGAGATAAACTCTTTTTATTTTCCCTCCATTATTTGAACCATTAATGATAGACCCTTGATGGCTGTCATCATTGCATCAGACTCATCAATGTTTTCTAGTATGGTTGTAAGTGTCTACATTTACCTGCAAACAGAATTTAAAGTTGTAGTATAAGTAAATAATTGTGCATTGCATCTTTAAACCTTTTATCTTTTTGGAGTTGGTTGATTTTAAAATATTTAATTCTTTTAATAACTAGATATATTCATGATCCAGAGTGTGTAGCAACAACAGGGGATATTACAGTGTCAGTTTCCACGTCATTTCTGCCAGAACTCAGCTCTATACACCCACCTCACTATTTCTTCACATACCGAATCAGGTGAGGATTTTGTTTTTGTTTTTATTATTATATGATTTGTGTTTTTTAGTTGTGAAAATACCGTAGAGAGGGGTTACAATTACATCAGCAAGATAATGAGTGCATTTCGTATCAAGCATTGTTGCCTCCTCCTTTGTTTTCCCTTCCCATCTTCCTCCCCCCCCCCCCCCCCTTTGATTTTGTTTTAAGTGATATAGTAGTTTTATCTCAGGGCCTTGTGCTGCCATGGCAGGTGCTCTACCATTCAGCCATGCTTCATGCTCTTTTTTCTTTTAGATAGTCTTTATTTCTTTATTTATTTTTGCTAGAGCCTGGACCAATATCCTCCTATTTTATGCTTGTTGAAGTAGCTGAAATGACAAGTATGTACCGCCACACCAAGCCTCTTCATTTAAATAGAGTCTCAGACTTCTTTTGTCTATGATCCTTCTGATTTCAGCTGGGGTGCCGGATGAGTGAGAGGGGGGGTTGGGTTTCCTGAAATTCTTATCTGACCTCAAGCTGAGATTCTCCAAGTCTCAACCCCCTAAGTAACTAGGATTATAGGTATGAGGCACCTTACTTAGTTAGGTGAGAATTTTAAATAAGTTTGCTAGGTGAGTTGGTTTCTGTCACTGACAAAATACTTGAGAAAAATCAGCCCCGTGGTGGAAGGATATATTTTGGTTCGTGATTTCAGAATTTTCCATCCATAGTTATGTGGTTTTGTTGCTTCAGGGCCTGTGCATTGTGAGGCAGAGTATTGCAGTGAGAATGTGTGGCAGAGCATAAGTGTTCACTTCCTAGTAGCCAAGGAGACACACAATAACGGGCTAGAGACAAGATACAATCTTCAAAGGCATGCCCCTCCCCTCTGAATCTGCTGACTGTCCATTCAGCTATGAATTTTCAATTTATTCCCTAGTGAGATTAGCATCCTCATGATCCAATCAGTTCTCAGTAGCACCCTCATATGGGTGCCTAGTCTTCAAGACAGGAACCATTTTCTTTCTTTCTTCCTTCCTTCCTTCCTTCCTTCCTTCCTTCCTTCCTTCCTCTTTCTTTCCTTCTTTCTTTCTTTCTTTCTTTCTTCCTTCCTTCCTTCCTTCCTTCCTTCTTTCCTTTCTTCCTTTCTTTTGTTGGTCGTGAGGCTTAAACTCAGGGTCTAAGCACTGTCCTTGAGCTCTTTTGCTCAAAGGTAGCACTCTGCCACTTTGAGCCACAGTGCCACTTCCAGTTTTCTAGTGAATATTTGGAGATAGGAGTCTCATGGACTGTCCTGCCTGGGCTGACTTTTGAGCCACCATCCTCAGATCTCAGCCTCCAGAGTTGCTAGGATTAGAAGCGTGAGTTACCAGCACCTGGCAGGAACCATTTTCTATTAGAATCACAGCAGTCACCTTTTAGTAAGTAGTGTGTGATATATTCTGTGCGTGTGTTGCTGTTGTACATTGAACACACTATATTAAATGCAATTGAATACACTGTATAAAATGCATTTTTTATGGGATCTTGGGGGTGGAATCCAGGGCCTTGCACATGTTAGGCAAGTACTATATAGCTGAGCTACATCCCCAGCCCTAACAGGCATTTTAAAGAATCGTTTCTGGTAAAGTTTGGAAGAAGGTGAATAACTTTTCTGCAACATAGTATTTGCAAAAATTTTGACTTCATATGAAGCTCCAAGTTCTTTCTTCTTTATTAAATTTTATGCTAGTACTGGAGCTTGAAATCATGACCTGGCCTGGGCACTGTCCCTTAGCTTTTTCACTCAAGGCTAGCTTTCTACCACTTGCGCCACAGCTCCACTTCCAATTTGTTGTATGTGTTAGTCCGGGGTCTTGAACTCAGGGCCTGAACACTGCCCCTGAGCTTTTTTGCTCAAGGCTGGCTCTCTCTCCACTTGAGCCTCAGTTGTACTTCCAGCTTTTTAGGGGTTAATTTGAGATAAGAGTCTTACAGACTTTTCTTCCTGGGCTGGCTTCGAATCTTCCTTCAGATCTCAGCCTCCTGAGTAGCTGGGATTACAAATCTGAGCCACCAGTGCCCAGCTACTTATTTTTTGCACATGTACAAGGTATTTTGGAAAGTGGGGGTCACTAAGTCATAATAATCAAAGCTCTATTTTAGTTATAATGTGTTCTTGAAGCTATCTAATTGCCAAACATGAAAGTATGCATTTTAAATTTCATCTGGCTATATTTAATTTAAAAGTCTAATAAATACTTACTGAGTACTTCATATATGTCATATATTGCCATTATCATTGGAGTTAAAAATGAGTATTTTAGACTTAGTATTCTGTGCTGTGACATAAAGACAGCCCATTACTTCAAGAGATTAAGGCTATTTTGTTTGAAATGTATTTATTCATATATACATATGATTCATGTATATCTAATGGAAATATTTTAGTAATATATACTTACCAGAAAGCGTTTTGGGATTTTGGTATTTTTTGGTATATTTGGTTGCCTGTTACATGTCCCAAGTGTAGATAAAGATGTTGTACTGATGTTTAATTTAGATCCTGCCTAGGATGGAGGCATGTTTAAAATAAAAACATCCACAATGTGCTTCTGTTTTGCTCAGAGTGAAAGTAAGAGAGTGGATTCCTAGAAAAAGGATGAATAATGGGTTTGAGCTTTTTTAGAAGTTAATGGAGAAAAGGACAAGGCTCTGTAGTTTTGTGACAAGTGAAGGAATTTCAGTTCTTTAGAAGTCATTTGTGGTACTATTCTAGAAAGCATTTCCAAATAGATCTTTCTTGTGGAGCAAAGGATGGTTAACACCATGTTTTGGATATTCCAGTTGCCCTTCCCAATGCTGATGCTCACTGGAAGTTAAGGTCATAAATTGACTGAAAGCATTTCTGTGGGGAATTAAGCTAATGAAGGCAGTATCTTGGAGAACTTAGAAAAAATAACCACTTAACATAAACCTTGGTTTGGTTTCTTTTGGAAATATCCTTTTATATTACTAACCTTAATAGAGTATCTCTAAAAGCCAAGAAAACAAAACCAGATATAGGCCAGATTTATGTCTTCACCACTCCACTCCTTTTTCCAGGATTGAAATGTCAAAGGATGCTCTTCCTGAGAAGGCTTGTCAGTTGGCTAGTCGCTATTGGAGAATAACAAATGCTGAAGGAGATGTAGAAGAAGTTCAAGGGCCTGGAGTAGTTGGTATGTAACCCAGGATTTAAGTGTATACCTTACTTCCTTCGTAGACTTCACATCCATAAATGTACTGCATAGAAGTTACTGTTTTATCATTTTAGCTCTATAACATTAACTTTTCTGAAACTAAGGCAAACTCAATTATTTAGAGATTGATTTTCCTTTCTGTGGATCACTTGAGATCCCTTGCCTATCCTTGTAGTATTTTGTTTGTTTATATGTTTGTTTCTGTTTCTGTTCATTAGTGATACTATGGGTTAAACTCTGGGCCTTAGACTTTATTCATTAGGCATACTGTCTACCATTTGAACTATATCTCCAACACTTTTTGTTTTAATTATTTTTCATGTAGAGTCTTACTTTTCTTGTCTTAGCCTGCCTGAACTGTGATCTTCCTCCCACTTTATACCTCCCGCATAACTAGGATAATAGGCAAACACTTCCCTGCCCAGCATTTTTTTAGTTAAGATAGAGTCTCTTGAACCGTTTGTCGGCAATTGCCTCAAACTACATTCTCCCAATCTCAGCCTCCCAAGTAGCTGAGATTATAATTATAAACCAGATGCCACTGCATCTGGTTTATTATTTATGACTAGTTATACTCAGTATATTCTGTTAGATGACATAGGACAGAAAGAAAATAAATTTCATATTGGTAATCTTAAAGTTTGGAGGATGTTGTTAAAATTTATAGTACAGATTTTTTAAAATATATTTTTATTGTGAAAATACCGTACAGAGGGGTTACAATTACGTGGGCAACATAATGAGCACATTTCCTATCAAGCATTGTAGCCTCCTGCTTTGTTTCCCCTTCCCGTCCCTTCGTATCCACCCCCCTCCCCCCCCATCCTCCCCCACCAAAGTTGTAAAGTTCGTTTTTCCACATAACGACTTGTACATCTCATTGTTGCAATGGGTCCTCCTGTATCCCTGTTTTTACAATTTTATAGTACAGATTTTTTACTCTGTAGAATTTATTTACTTCAGTTTTGGTTACCATTACATTGAGCTTTTTTTTTTTAATAGTAAGTTATGTTTATCCTACATTTCTGAGCCATCAGATTCTTCCAGTTTAAACATGTGTTTCAGGAAAATATACATAAGCTATGAACTTCTGTCATAGTAAAGTTATATGCGTGTTCTATGTAGAATTTGTTTTGTGGTGCTGGGGATTGTGTCCAGGGCTGTTCATATGCGAGGCAATTACTCTACCACTGAGCTAAATCCCTACTCCAGAATATATTCATGGGCTACATGTTTACTTAATAAACTTTTCTTGGACTTATTTACAGACCCAGTGTTTAAGAATTTTATTAAAATGTAATTCTTTCTTGTCTTTTGATCCATTGGTATAAGGACTTTCCCTTGAAACTGACATTTTGTCTGGTCTGAACACTTCAGATATCTCTTTACAATTTTTTGTTTTAGTCTCTTGCTAGTGAATGTTACACTTTAGTTTCTTGTTGCTTTTTTCTCTACAGGTGAATTTCCCATCATCAGCCCAGGTCGGGTATATGAATATACTAGTTGTACTACATTCTCTACAACATCAGGCTATATGGAAGGATATTATATCTTCCATTTCCTGTACTTTAAAGACAAGATCTTTAATGTTGCCATTCCCCGATTCCACATGGCATGTCCAACATTCAGGGTGTCTATAGCTCGATTGGTAAGTTAAAGTTTCCTCTAGTGCTGATTTTCCTGACTGTAGAATTAAACTCTACAGAAGATCTTTGTTTATTCAGACAAAGGGCTTATAAATGCTGCTCTAGAAAATCCTGGTGATTCTGAGGCAGTATCTTGGGGGCATATGAATATGTTGGGGAGACATAGTTTACATTTAACAAGTAAGCTAAGCTCCTCATACTTCAACCAGAGAAACTCTTGTGTTACCTGTTTTTAGCTTCATGGATTACATGTATTAGAATATGAGAAGTGCCATACTAGACCACTTAGAATTGGCTTTATTCAGAACCACTGCGTGTTTGATGACAGTTTACTCCCTGACTTCTGAAGCTATCCAGCATGCTTCACAGCCTATATTTTGGCCTATGATCTATTGCCTCCCAGACTAGATCAGTGAGTAGGGACTGAATTGTCTAGATACTATGTAGAAGAGTGGCCAAAATTAAATTTTTCTGCTAACAGATTAAGATTGCATGTCTTCAGGAGCAAAGTAGCACCTTTATTCATTTCCATTCCCATTGTTAGGGTCATGAGCCACAGGAAATAAATTGCCAGGCAGTGGCAGAGGCCCAAACTGCCTTATCTTGTAATACCTTCTTTGGAATAGTCTTAGGAATCATAAGTAGGGCAGGAAAAGTGGAAATTTCTAGCTGTGTAGTAAGGGAAGCTGTGCCAACTGTACTGTTACCAGAGCGACCTTGAAGTCCATAAGGAATGTACTTTCTGTTAGACACTAACAGCATGAAATGATACTTAAGGCCATTGTTGAAACTGGGGGGCTGACTGGGGTGGGGGTGGTGTTTCTTGGGGGTTTTGCCTCTTTGTAAACCTGACTGACCATGTCTTGAAATCATAGTAAGCGGAGGCCTCTTACCTTAGTGCCATGACAGGATCTGAAAATAGGAAACCTAAAGGTGACTGACTGAATTCTTTTTTCTATGAAAGAAGGTACTCCTCTTTATCCACTTCTACAGGATACTTACTTCCAGAAACTGTAGAGCAGGAATTTGGAGGGGTGGGGAAGCAACATTGGGCTTTTTAACTCAGTCTCAAACTCGTTAGACACGTACTCTACCACTTGAGCCACATCCCAATTTTCTCTTTTCTTTTTGCCTTCCTTTTCCTTTCTTCTCTCCTTCCCTCTTCCTTTTCCTTCCTTCTCTTCTTTCCTTTCCTTGCCTCCTTCCCTCCCTTCTTTCCTCCCTCCCTCCTTTCTTTTCTTTTTTCCCCCTCCCTCCCTCCCTCCCTCCCTCCTTCCCTCCCTCCTTCTTTCCTTCCTTCCTTTACCTTATTTGATTTCATTAAGCCTGGAGGAAGAAGAGTCTTTAACTCCCACTTTTTCTGCATGGGGAGCAGTAAATGTTTCTCCCTCAAATTTTCCTTACTTTAACTCTGTTTTGCTAAAATAAATCCTTACTAGCTTGAAAAAAAAAAACTACAAGGAAAGAATTTCTTTACAGTGTTTTTAGCTTTAGCAAACTAAAATTTCCTCTAGAGATGACTCCGAAGGAAGCAGAATGGGTGGATGTACACTTTTAAGTCTCTTTCTGGGCTCCTTCCTCAAGTCAAGCCAGGTATATGTTTACAACCTCACTTTTAGGATTACCTTGTGGAGCACCTATAACATTAGTCTCAATATTATGGACTACAAAATGATTAGGTTAGGAAGCTCCAGTATACAATAGGAATAAAATAGTCTATCTAGAACACAGCAGAGTTGTCTGCCTTGAGCATTAAAAAAATGCTCTCCAGCTCCTGGGATGGCCCATGGGTGGGTTAGAGCTCATTCTGGGAAGATGCACTTGATGTTAGCATGACACATTCACACCTCCAGTTTGGAAAGAAAAGGGTGATGATGAAACTTTAGGCCATTACACTTACAGTGTGATGAAAAGGACCTGTAATCTAAATTTGGAAGCAAAGCTTTAGTCTTCTTCCCCATGGAGGAATGATATAAACTGTTGTCAGTTACTGGGAATTTGCTTCTCCTTGTAACAGACTTCCACTTTTGACTAGCTCAGTTGTCTCTGTGAGCTCCATTTCATTTTGTCTTTAAATGGTTGATAATCAGCAGTGAAGCTATCTGGGACTGGAGTTTTCTTTATGGGAAAAAAATTTAAAATATGAATTTACTTCTTTAACATTCATATTTTCTATTTCTTTCAGTTTTGGTAATTTGTGCCTTTCAAGGAATTTATCCATATCATCTAAATGTTGAATTTATTGACGTAAAGTTATTCCTAATAGTCCCTTGATATCCTTTTAATGGCTACAAGAGCTGTAGTTGTAAACCCTTGGTTCTTAATACTGGTAACTTGTATCTTCTCTTTTTCCCCATCACATGATTACTATCACTCTTGTTGGTCATTTAAAGGAAAAACTTGGTTTTACTGACTTTTTTTTCTACATATTTTCTATCACATTGATTTCTGCCATTGTCTATTATTTCTCTTCTACTTTCTTTGGGTATTATTTGGTTTTGCCCTAGTTTTTTAAGGTAGAAGTTTTAATGCTCAATTTTAGGTCTTTGTCTCTAAGCACTGTTTTAGTTGAACTTCACAAATTTTGATGTGCTGTGTTTTAGTTAATATGCAGTTCAAAATTGTTTTTGAACTCAGATTTGCCTTGTAACTTAATTTTGATTTGTGGCTTTTATAGAAAAGTGTTAACTTCCACACATTTGAAAATTTTGAATTATCTTTTGGTTATTGATTTCTAATTTTATTGTGGTTAGAGAACTTAAACTCTGTACCTTTACTACTTTTAAATGTTTTATGGTCCAATGTTATGTAAAGACTTCATATATCTTGCTAAATAATCTCTTTGTGCATTTGAAAAGAGTGTATATTCTGTGATGTGGGGAAATACTATTCTGAAAGTGACAGGTCAAACTGGTGTATTGGTTGACAGGTTGTTTTTTTTTAATGTCATCTGTATATTCATTGCTCTTTTGTTGTTGTTTTGTTCTGTCAACTACTGCAAAGAAGATTGTTGAAATCTCCAACTAAAATTATGATTGTGTCTATCTCTTTGTCAGATTTGCCTCATGTATTTTGAAGCTTTATAATTGTGTGCCAATGTGCTTAGGATTGTTATGTCTTTTTAATGACATAATTTTAATTGACAGTTACTGAAATCTCCTTATCTCCAATAGCATTCCTTGTCCCCAAGTTTAAAGAACATTGAGGTTTGTTTTGGCAGACAGTTTGGATACTGTTGGATCAACTCAATTGTATTGATGCTTGTTTTTAATATTTGTTGGATGTGTGTAAAGTTCTCTTTACTGAAGTATGATGGTTCCCATGCATTTCAATCTCAGACCCGTTAGGATGTCTAAAACCCCCTGATGACTTCAACCAAACTCTTGCTTAGATGGATTACATTAGTATTTAGTATACTAGAAATTAAAACTGAGAAGTTTTATATATTTACCTATCAGTTTCTTTTAAAACTACAATAAATCCATTACATGCTTAATACCTCCTTCAACCATGTGTTTACTTATTTAGTTTTAGTTTCTGCCTAACCACTTATAAATGTATAATAAAATCATTAGAGAATAGTTTCTCTAAAGGGTGAGAAATCAATAGAAATAAAGAATAAGTCAGGACTTATTAAGACTTAATAAGACTTACCAGTCTTACTACCATCATTTAAAAGGCCATGGGGGTTATATTTGTTGACTTTTTGTTTCTATTTGTTTTCTTGAAATGGAAGTTGAATCATTTAGTTTCTCTTTTGTCCTCTTCCAGCCTGATGAATTAGTAGGCTTAGGAATTCTTCATACTTTGCAAGTTTTAAATACTGTACACTTTTGGCTAGTCTTGTGCTTTTCCTTGGTGTAGGGTTTTTTTTTGTTTTTGTTTTGCTTATGTGAGAGCACTGCAGGGCTTCCTGTCAATCATTTAACATCCATCTTTGTTTTGGTTCCCTTTTCACCTACTCTTTTGCCACTCAGTAGCCTTTAACAGGAATGTCTTCTTCATTAGCATAGTTGATAATCACACTATGTGGATATCATGTATTGTAATTTCTACAGCCTTCCCCATTATGCATTTTGGATCTCTCTCTGAGATCCAAAGACTTCATCAACTCAGTTAAAAAAAATCCAAATATAGAAATAATGAAATATAAATCATATCTGTTTACCTTTTTGTTACTATTCTTGTGTCATAATAAATCCTGTGACATATTTCCTTTCTCCTACATTCATTTGTTCATTCAGCATTTGAGTACTATAGCAACTAGTGAGATCAAACTTCTGCCTTGGAATTTACATTCTAATTGGAAGAGACAAACTGTAATAAGTAAACACTATCTGCATGTGTCAAGTAGTAACGTGCTATGGAGAAAAACCACAGAATAGGGAATAGAAGGAGTATATTACTAACATCTAATATACAGATGACGGAGGAAAGCCCTGGTGACATGTAAACTGAGGCATAAAATAATTGGAGGAAGCCAAATGTGCAGGAAGATTATTCAGCCAAAGGAGCAACAAGTTTGAGGTCCAGACATTCTTGGTGCTTGGTGCATTTAAACTAAGGAATCTGGTTCAGTTCCCTGGGGAACAAGGGAGTTGGAGGTGAGATCAGAGGACAGTGGGTGCTGAATCATGTAATACTGGTAAAAGTCTTGATGTAGGCTCAGCTTGGTAGCACATGCCTATAATAACAGAACTAGGGAGCTGAAGGCAGGAGAAACTCAAGTTTAAGACAGTCTAGTCTTCATAGCCCTGACTCAAAGAAAAAGAAAGTCTTGGTGGGGGAGACTTTTGCTAGCCTCATGCACCAAGTTTTCCTCTGAAACCAGTTAGATTTTGGCCGCTCAGAATTCTGGCTGATATTGCAGCTACAAGTCTTCAAATGTGCGAGAGAGAAAATTGGCAGTCAAGTAATCAAGGTTTGGTTAGAGAGAGGCACTCGTGAAGCAGAATTGCAGTTTCTAGATGTTCAGATACTGTGTGTTCCTCACTGCTGCCTTCTGGTGCCTCCAACAAGGGAATGTAAGGCTACCCTTTTCCCCATGTGGACTAGTTTTAGTGATGCACTTCTAGTAAATTGGCTAAGTGATGCTTCTGAGGCTGCGCTAGGAATAACCTCAATCTAGTTCTCTGGACCACATGCATTTGGTGCTCTGATCCGTTGTGTAAGAAATCCAACTACCAGAAGCTGCCATGCTAAATCACTCCTCACACAGACAGGAAGAAGCACCCAGGAGCCCCAGATGTTTGTCTGCAGATGTGTGGATCATCCCAGTCCAGGTACCAGACGTGTGAGTGAAGAAGCCCCCGAGGAGACTGAGGCCAGGTCCAGCGATCATCCGACCGTACCCCAAGCTAGAGGCACCCCATTGGTGCTTCCCAAATACCAACCATAGGAACCAAGAAAGAATAAATGACTGTTGTTGTTTTAAGCCACTGAAAAAAATAAAATAATTTATTCAAAAGAAGAGGCTATTGATGTTTGAATTAAAACCATGAGTAGTATAGCAGGAGCTCAGTAAAAATCATCCAGACCTCTGATAGTACATAAAAGCTACCAGCAGAGGTCATACCAGATTAGTATTTTCACATCCTCTTTTCCATATGTGTATGGATTAATAAAAAATGGTTCTTTAACACATTACTGTGATAAATTCAGTAAGCCTTTATCTTGGCTTATTTCGAGTGATTTATTTGCTACCTTGTGTGCATAACAGATTGTCTTAATGAAGTATATTCGCCAATACAACCATACTGAGCATTATTGAACATATGGGACACTACATTCTAGGACCTGTGTCTGCAGGTGTGTTTTGGAATTGCAATGTTCATGGCTGTGAAAACTCACCTGGCATGTCTGGTTGTATGCATTCTAGGTTATAGATAAATTACTAATAAAAAAAGAAAGAAAGCTCCTGGACATTCTTTTTTTCTATTTTTTTTAAAAAATTACCCTTAGTAGTTGTACAAAAAGGGGTTTCAAATCAACAAATCGGTTTTTAAGTACACTGCATCTTGGTCAATGTTACCCCATTCTTCTTATCAAAAGATTGTTTTTCTCTTTAGGAAATGGGTCCTGATGAATATGAAGAGATGGAAGAAGAAGAAGAGGAGGAGGAGGAGGAAGAGGAGGAGGATGATTCCCCAGAAATGGAAGAAACAGATGAAGAGGAAGAGGAAGAGAGGCAAAGGAGGGTCTTTGATGTTCCCATTCGCAGGCGCCGTTGCTCCCGCCTGTTTTAGACTGCCTTCTGTTGACCAAAGCCCTAGGATGTCCCTAGTCACTTAAATAGATTTCTCAATAATGTAAATAGTGAAAATTTGCTCAGTATATAGCAGGCAAATAGCATTTGTTTTCGTTTGCTTTATGGTTTTGAGGTAGATGGGAGAAATGGGAGTATATTTTTTCTCTTCCAGGAGTCAGAAAAAGTATAGCTAAGGAACAGACATTTGTTTAAAAAATATTTTCTACTTAAAAAAGAATAGAAATGGCAAAGGAATTGTTTTGAATAAGGATTTCAAATGTGGCACACAGGAGAGATGTAGCTACACAAGGATATAGCTACACAAGGATAGATGATTTTGTGGAAAAACTTCTTACAGTTGTGAGTTACTTAGAAATAAAATTTGTAATTAGGTAATCTATTAAGCAATTCCTAATATTTGATATAATTGACTAATTCAAAATCTATGGCTTGTCTTTTCTTAGACAATCTTATGTGTGAACTGAAACTACCACATTTTAAACTAAAAGTTTCTTCATTACAACTTGAATTTAAAGTCTTCAACATGATGACCTTGAATTTAAGTTAACAATCCTCACACTATGACCTTTTCAGATTATTTACATTTTTAAGTGTGTAAAAGTATATAGTGTGTTTTTTCATTAGCAAAAGATTCTTCACATTGTCTCATGGATTCTAAATTTGTAAATATTCTTTGTTTTGTTTCTCTTTTGTCCACTTTGTCTATTTTAGGATTAAGGATATTTTCCTGAAACACTATTTTTTGTGAATATATAATTGGGTTTGGAATGAAATCCTTCAAACGTCAAGAACTCACATTTTTAAAACAAATTAGGGTTTCAATCCTGTATTTTGTATTATTGCCTATTTCCCATAAATTAATAAGCCTTTGCTCTTCAGATAGAAAGTGTGGTTGATACTTTTTGGCCCACCACTAGAGTAGGTAGATCAGTCAGAGTCATCCTAACCTTGTGTCCCACCATCCATTTCCCCAAGTAGGAAAAGCGGTAGGAGAAGGGAGCAGTATTCAGATCTGAGCAGCTGCTGTTGTAGAGCATGAAGGCACACCCTTTCTTATATAGTGACACATCAGAATGTTCTGAAATGGGTTTCCTACTTTTTTTCTGTTTTCTGTCAGTTACTCATTGCATAACAGTGTTTCCACATACACAATAGATGCTGGCCACAGCCTCATACATCTCATATTTATAGTATCTCCTGAATGAATCGTTTTCTCTTGTGCTGGATTTAAACTCATATTTTCCTATTAATTACTAAACATACAAAACTCACTGATATGCCACTGAGAGGCGCAATATATTGAATGTCCTGGGAACCAAAAGGACTCGGAAGGTGGAAGGAAAATCTCTGATGGTTTTGCCAAACAGCTATTCCACTATATCTATGACCTTAAGAACTAGAACAAAGTGTTGGAAGCTCTTAAAGGCTCTGCTTCATCAGAGGCAATGAGATGCAAAGATTTATGAGAGGTACCTATCAGAGAAGCTACTTATGACCCCAGTTGATGACTCAGAAATGTATCTTCCTCAGCAACATGATAATCATGACCAAAGCAGAGTTTGCTTATAATGTTAAGAGGCTGCACCTGACAAGGATACTGAATCTGCTATCCATTCTGGGTGGTTTAAACCATTCAAGAAGTGTTTCTTGTTGGGCTCAAGCCTATAATTCTAGCTACTCAGCAGGCTGAGAACTGAGGATTGTTCAACACCAGCCCAGGCAGGAAAGTGTGAGACTCATGCTTTCAATTACCCAGCAAAAAACTGGAAATGGAGGTATAGCTCAAATGTGGAGGTATAGCTCAAATGACAGAGTGCCAGTGTTAAGCAATAAAACATGGGGATAGTATCCAGGCAGTGGTAGTTCACGCCTGTAATCCTAGCTACTCAGGAAGCTGAGATCTGAGGATTTCTGTTCAAAGCCAGGCCAGGCAGCAAAGTCCGTGTGACTCATCTCCAATTAACCACCAGAAAACCAAAAAGTGAGCTGTGGCTCAAGTAGTAGCATGCTAGCCTTGAGCAAAAGGAGCCCAGTAGAAGCACCCAAGTCCAGAGTTTAAGCCAGAGGACTGGCCAAAAACAAAAAAACAGTGGTGGGGGTGGGGATGTGGTAGATGAATATATTTTCTTAAAAGGATTCATTTAACTTTTACTGCTTTAATACAATTTTTAGAATTATATAGTACAAAAATGTATAGTGGTGTGTGTGTGTGTGTGTGTGTGTGTGTGTAGTTTCCCTAGTGCTGGGAAATAAACCCAAAATTTTGCACCTGCCAGGCAAGTGGTCTATCATGTAAGCCATGCATCTGGTCTTCAATGTCTTAACATCTTAATCATTTAGGTATGAATAAGCAAAAGGGGAAGCAAAAGTCACTCTGACAAGAACAATTTCCAAACAAGTATCCACTATGGTACGCATTTTACTTATGTATAAAATACGTAGATCATGCTGGGGTGGCTTAAGTGATGGTGTCTGCCTAACAAGAATGAAAGCCTGAATTCAAACAGTAGTAATAATTCCTTTCTAAAATTTTTATCTGATTTCTTTTAGCTGCTTACTCTGGTTTATATATTTAGATGTTTTCTGGTTTCTGTCAGCTTGTTCTAACCTGTCTCAGTATGTTTATATGATTTTTGTTGCTTTGTTTTTGGCAGAATTGAAGTTCAAACTCAGAGCCTCTGCCTAGCAGCTGCTCTGCCACCTGAATCATGTCCCCAGACGTCTTCTTTTTGTACTTTAGTTGTTTTTCAGGTTTGTGTTTTGGTCTAAATAGTCTCATATTTGCTTTTTTGTTCTGTTTTGGTTTTGCCCTAGGCTGGCCTCACGCCCCTATCCTCCTAGCTATGGCCTCCTGCATAGCTGGAATATCAGGTATACATGCTGCTGTGCCCCACTTATTGGTTGACTGGGCTGGCCTTGATCCACTATTCTTGTTATATCTGCTTTCCAAGTACTGGAATTACAAGTGTAAGCCTCCACAACTGGTACTTTTGGTGGCTTTTTTGTTATTTGGTTGGTTTTTAACATGCAATAGAAATTACTATTTTCTATTTATATTTTCCAGAAATATACTTAATAAAACCAATAGATCATTAATAACACAGTGAATAACTTCCATTTGAAGTTTTTGAAATACAACACATATGTATTTGTGCCACTTTAAAAAAAAAAAAAAGGATTCCCATGGAATGGCCTTTGTTGGTTGCTTCTTAGCTGGGCACACATGAAGTTACTTAAGTAGGAGGAAAAGTCTAAAGTAGCTCCTTCATTTGCTTTTATTGCAAATTTGAGGGCTAGAAGAATTTATAGGCCTCACAGATGAAAGGAGCTTCACATTTTTTAAACACTCAGTGTATAACACACAGGATTAATTGTGCTGTTTTAACAATGACACCATTGAAAAACTGAAGAACTCCAACCCAGCCATGGGCTGTTAGTGAACTTGTGAAAATCAGCACTGAGAGGTTCACATGGTACTTACTAGGCCTACAGGTGGTGGCCACATGTTCTTAGGGCAAGACTGAGGGGAATGAATGGAGAGGTTTATATTATCTTGCATTTGGTTAAAGATGCATTAAAAAAGGGACCCCTGGGCTGGGAAGGTGGCTTCGCATGCATGCGGCCCCGGATTCAATTTCTCAGCACCACATAAACAGAAAAAGCTGGGAGTGGCGCTGTGGCTCAAGTGGTAGAGCGCTAGCCTTGTGCTGAAGAGCTGAGGGACAGCGCCCAGGCCCAGAGTTCAGGCCCCACGACCGACAAAAAAAAGGGAGGGGAGACCCCTGTTGTCTTCTTCAGCAAGATTCTCATCTCCACTTTTGTTGTCGCTGCTGTTCTGGTACTGGGACTTGAACTGGGGCACTATCCCCTTAGCTTTTTCGTTCAAGTGTGGCCCTACTTGAACTACACAGCCCCATTTCTGGCCTTTTGACGGTTAACTGGAGAAAAAAAATCTCACAGACTTTCCTGCCTGGCCTGGCTTTGAACCGCGATCCCCAGATCTCCTGGGTAGCCATCGGGCCCTGCTAGTACAGCGTTCTAGGTGGTAGTTCCTGTCCCAGCCAACCACAAAGCTTTAAATGCGGAAGCAGTTCGTCTCGGGTTCAGCTATGGCCGAAGGGTATCTGGACCTGAGGATGGGAAGGAAGTGTCTGGCCGCCGCGGGGCCGCAGGACTGGACAGACGGACATGGGAACGTACCATAGGCTTTAGGAAACATTTTAACAATTTTTTTTTCTTTAAAGTGGAGGGAATCCGCAGTCTTGCTACCTCCTGCTGTTTTTGCTTTTGGAAAGGAAGGAATCTAGAGGAGGCTTCTGGGGATGATGAGGGGTGGTAATCTGATCCTGGCTCCCGCGCAGTCGGAGGGAACCCGAACCGGGTCTGGACCGAGTCCCTGGGAGACCTCGGGCGCGGCGGGGCCGGGCCGGGCCGGAGCCCCTCCTCCGGTGGGCGGAGCCTCGGCGGCCTCGGGAGCGGAACCAGTCCGCGGGACTCAGCGCAGCCGTGACGCAGTGCCAGCGGCCCGGACGGTGGTAGGCGCAGGTAAGAGCCGAGTGCGGGAGGCGGCTTCGGACGCGCGCGCGGGGGTTCCAGGGTACCCCAGGCTTCCCTAGCCGGGGCGCCCCAACCTATTGTCATCGCGGGCCTGACAGGCCTAGCAGGGCGGCCGGGTGGGACCTAGCGGGGCCGCAGGCTGGCAGCTGCGCGGGGGCCCGGAGCCAGCGCGCTCCGTTCGCTTGTGTGCTGCGGCCTTTCCGTTCTCCATGCTGGGGCACCTGCTCCTCGCGCCCCGCGCTCCTGCCCGCACCGGGATCTCCAGGGGAACGCCTCGGGTGTAGGCGAAGACGTCGCGCCAGAACCCCAAGGGTTAAGAGCCATGTGATCATCGCATAGATCTGGGCCTAAATTAGGAGCAGCTTTATTTCTTTGGGTCAGCTTGGGCCTTAGTCTCCTTAGAGTCTGAAGGTCAGCTTTTAAATACGTTTTAAATATGTCGTTTTTACATATGCCTTTTATTGTCTCATGATGTTCAGGCGCGCCACTGTTAAATAGCGGTAACAACGTTTAATCTCATTTTCTCATGAGCAAAATAAGGGGCCTTGCTTCATACAGCAGCAGCTGTCAGGGCGAGATGACATGGTTCCAGTAAAGAGAACCTGGTAATGAGGAGAACCGTTAATTATTCAGGCGTTCCGGATGTGCACTGGGGACCACGTTTGTTCCAGCTCAGAAGATCTGAGAAGACACACAAACCTCAGCCGCGGGGGTAGTGAGTCGGGGTGGGGGAGGTGGGGAAGGAGGGCGGGAGGTTACTGACAAATGTGGAGACAATGGGATGATCATTTCTCATTTAGGCCTGGCAGCCTAAGAATGAGATCCCATATGAAAAACCAAACATATCCAGGGATAGAAGTTTTGGCAAACGTTGCTCCAAGGGAAAACATCCCATTTTACCCAGTGGTCTGGAAAAGAGAAACTTTTAAATACAGAAAAAAGAGAAAAAGCTTTGGTCAGAGGGATTTTAGGGTGGAAGTGTCTAGAGGACAGGGTTTCTTCAGACAGCCAGGGACTCGGATCCCTAGAACAAGTTTCAGAGAGGCTTTGGCAGGGAAAACTGGCAGATCTGTGTGCTCTTGAGAGTTCTGGGTTGGTTGTCACTGACCCCAAGGCCTTAGGTGGCTGGGAGGGGCTCTTCATTGTGATGGTGGGGTTTTCTACTTGCTGATGCAGCTGTTGCTCTAAATTGTGTTGCATACTTGCTACAGCAGGTGCAAAGGGGTTTAGGACACCAGGCCCTCACACACTGCTTACACTGGATTATGTTAAGTTATTTATATGTCACCAAACATCCCGGGTGGCTTTTCCACCATCCTGTTGCCTTTGGACAGGTAATTTCATCCTCTCGTGCCTCCATTGATCTCCCATAAAATGAAGATATTAAGGTTTTGTTTTTAAGGATATGTCTAACCTTGAAGTTCGTTGGCTTCAAACAGTAACTTTATATTCACAGGTATGTTTGAATCCCATGGAAACACTACTGGAAAAATTCTCTTTGAAGCTCTGAGTCCAGGCTCATTCAGGCACTGGCAGCACACAGTCCTTGTGACTGAAGGACCACGCCCATACCGAGCTCACACATTTATAGTCACATCCTTAGACTTACTAGGCTCACTTAATTTAAGCACTTCAAATACCATCCATAGGAATAACCAACTTAATGTTTGATTCGACTAAGCTCACGTGGCTGTCACTTGGTCCGGAGGTCCAGAGATAGAGAGGAGTCGATGGAGGGAGATGCAGCCGCCTTGCCAGGGCAGGCTGCAGCGGAGGGTCGTTCTGATGTGGAGTAGTCTCCTTCTGGGAGGCCGCCTCACCAGGTCTCTGCTGTTTTAGGCTGGCCCTTCATTTCTGGCTATGTCTGATTACCAGGGTTGCCTTGGTGAGGGCTTCGTTTCGAATCCAGTCTGGTGATCGATAAGGTCTGAGTTGGCTTGCCTCTGGCTGAGTGGTGATCGATGAGGGCTTTGGTGATTACTCTGCAGGCTCCCTGGGTGTGTCTTTTTTTTTTTTTTTTGGTCGGTCATGGGGCCTGAACTCGGCCTGGGCACTGTCCCTCAGCTCTTCAGCTCAAGGCTAGTGCTCTACACTTGAGCTACAGTGTCACTTTCGGTTTTCTAGTGGTTTATTGGAGATAAGATTTTCATGGGGGGCTGGGAAGGTGGCTCAGTGGTAGAGTGCTTGCCTTGCATGCATGAGGTCCTGGGTTTGATTCCTCAGCACCAGCAAAAAGAAAAAAAGCCGGAAGTGGTGCTGTAGCTCAAGTGGTAGAGCGCTAGCCTCGAGCTGAAGAGCTGAGGGACAGCGCCCAGGCCCAGAGTTCAGGCCTCACGACTGGACCCAAAAAAAAAAAAAAAAAAGATTTTCATGGACTTTCCTGCCCGGGCTGCCTTTGAACTGCAATCCTCAGATATCAGCCTCCTGAGTAGCTAGGATTACAAGTGTGAGCCACCGGCACCCAGCTTCCTGGGTGTGTCTTTATCTACCCATTCCATACTTCTAACTCCTAATTTTGCAGCTTAACATTTAATATTATTTCATAGCACACATACATTCACTATATTTCTATTCAATAGCCTACCATATTAATATTTAATGACACACTATATCAATATTTCATAATATTCACTACAACGCTCTAGTTTCCTTGTGAGATATCAGTTAAGGACCATTCTTAGGTTCTAGAAGCCACTTGTATTTATTTCTTGGCTCAATCTCCCGTCTTCAAAAATAGTGATATGGGTTTGTCTCACCTTTCAGGTCCCTGCCTCTCCCGTCTTCCTTTTAAGGACCCAGTGTAATATGGAAGGCCAAATGGATAATCCAGAATAATCTCTGTAATTTTAGACTGTTTCACTTGTCATGAAAGGCTGCTTGTATCAACAGGATCCTGAAATAAAGTATGACCCTCTTTGTGGGAGACAGAGGCATTGTTCTGCCCAAGGCAGTTAGTTGCTTTGTAAACTGATTCTCCAACCTGTTTCTTCTGCTAATGGAAAACAGAGACATTGACTTTATAGTATTGTTTTAAGGCTTAACTTCTTTCCTATGTCAGGAGCACCTAGCATAGAATCTGACCCTCACTACATAGATGTTAGCACAGAAACAAGGACTTGCCTAATGGCTTGCCTTTGGTGACATGTTGCAGTGGTGTAATCATCGGAACTCTGAAAAATAGAAGATACTCCTAATTATTTCATTAGCACTAACAGCTCTTTTACAGACCTGCTGGGAAAGATGCTTTCACCCCTCCACCCGTCTAAAGTAGTCTTGTTGACATGTAATCCCAACCCTTAGGAGGCAAAGGTAAGAGGATCACGAGTTCAAAGCCAGCCTGGGTTACATAATGAGTTCCCCAGGCTAGCCTATGATGCAAAGCCAGACGTTGTCTCAAAAAATAAAAGTACAGTGCCAGTGTAACCCAGTGAATCTCGGGCCTTTCAGATGACTCAGATGCCCAGTGAAATTGAGAGGCATTGTTCAGCTTCTCCTTTACATAGCCTGGTGCCTGCTGCGTACCTGCTTCCAGTGGGCTCATAAATTACTACTTTTGGGATGGTAGGGAGGTGTAGGGGTCAAGGCTGAATATACCCACCAGGAAGTTCCTCAAGAACGCCACTATTAAATAATATTTCATGTGCTAAGTGCTTTCTGATCAAGTTTTCCTGAGTTATTTATGCATTCTATATATGTGTGTGGAACATTAATTATATTTACATAGAATATGTGTAAAATGTTACAACATATTATATATAGCACAATAATATATACATTCTATGTAATATACACTATAACATTATATATGATTATATTCATCTATTTTAATTGATGTTTGGGAGGATTGAGTTATGGATAGACAGAACCATATTTTTGTTTTCCTATTTAGGACAATGGATTATAGGCTCACACTCCAATTTCTCCCCAAATATCCAAAATACTTGCTACCTAAGATGTTTTCAGCAACTTGATTAAAAAAAAAAATCAATATTAGCTTTTTAGCTTCCCCTTGCATCTTACTTAGGTGGATGGTACTGTCTTTTAGAAACAGCTATCCAGCTTTGGTGCTTGACTTAAATAGGAATTTTTAAATTAGAAAGATGCTTTAACGACTCAGTCAGGACCAAGTGCCAGTATCTCAAAGCCTGTAATCCAAGCAACTCAGGAAGCTGAGATCTGAGGATTGAGGTATCCAGCCAGCCATGGCAGGGAAGTCCATGACATTATTATTGCCAATTCACCAAAATGTGGAAAGTGGAACTGTGGATCAAGTAGTAGTATTTAGCCTTCAGTGAAAACACTCAGGAACAGCACCCAGGCTCTGAGATCAAGCCCCAGTACCAGCACAAAAACAGACATGCAAAATAAAAGACTCTAACAACCTGACTGAATCTCATAGTAAGAAACAGTGCTGGTTTGGGAAATTGCTTCAGATTCTTTCCCAGTTCTGTTGGTGGCGTGGTGGTGGTATGGACATTCAGAAAGATAGTTGTTTTTTTTACCCCTCTCTCCCACAGTTGGCCTCTTCCTTTTTTTTTTTTTTTCCTTTCAGAACCTACCTTTGGAGTAAAGAGTCAGTAATTTGGGGGTGAAGGATTGGAGAGGTGAATGTAAGGGGAAGCTAGCCTGACCCCAAGGACTCTTCTTTACCTCCGAAGACAAATTTCATGGAAGTATTTAGATGGCCCATTTAGAAAAGCTGGGCAGGGCAGGGCAGGGCAGGGCAGGGTGGGGCATGGCTTGATAGGGCTTGGCAGGCTAGGCAGGGCGGGGTAGGGTGGAGTTGTCACATTTGACGCTGTGGGAAAGAAGTTGTTAGTAGCTAGAGTGGAAGGGTGAAGAAGACAGTTACTTTACTTCTTTGAAGCAAAACCATCTGGGGAAAAAGCACTTGGCTGAGAGACAGTTCTAATATTCCTAACCACAAGGGACCAGTTCACAGAAGGGAAAAGTGGGAAGTCAACATTTTTTTTAATCACATCTTGAGG